CGGAGCACCTGTCTCGGAAAGTCATCACCTGGAACAAACACTTGTGAACCCCAGAGCAGCAAATCACAGGCAGGTTTGCCAGATTGCCTTCTCCCACAGAAGTCCAGTGGCCGGTACCATCAAATACCCATCTTATTAGATTAGTCTGGTCTGAATGCCCCTTGGATGTTTTTCTGCCAACCATCTGCAGGGCTTGCCTGGTAAGGAGTGAAAGGACATTTTCCTGGAGCAGCTGTAGGCTGAGGCGCCTGAGCTGCAGTTGTCTTCCATCACACCGGGGTGACGTCTCTTGAAACCACATTTCATGGCAAACCAACAGTCAGGACTGTAGTCTCAGTATGGGTTGAGCAGGCTCATGGGCTAATTCAGGAAGGCAACTACGAAACGCCGTTGAGGACCAGCACTCTACTCCATGGGGACCCTTGTTTCAGAGATCCTGCAGGAGATTCCTTGCCTGCAAGGATCTGGAGTATTTTCCACACCTGGGATGAAGTGGCCTCCAACCAAGCCCATGTACTGCCTCCTTCTGGAGAGTATTCTGGCTGCCATGAGAAAGCCCCATCTTCCAAAGCCGCTGCTGGAGCAAGTTGCTTCCTGGTCCCTGGAGATTTCAAGGCTCCCTAAATTGGACTTTACAGAAGTAAGTGAACTTCCTGCCTCGCCATTCACTTAGAACACCCTTGGGAAGGTATACCTGTGTGGTGGCTCGGAGTGGATCAAAAGTACCTCTAGTTCCCAAACAGTGACACAGGCATTAAATGTGGGCACTTAAGCAGTGTGTGTCGTGAGGCCTCCGTGTCTCACATTGCACTGCACGCACAGATGAGCAGAGGGACAATGCGGCTGGGGGAGGAGTGCTCCGACCCCAGCCCGCTCACGGCAGTAGCTGCTATGAAGTGGCTGCAGCACCGCCAGCCACCTACCTCACCACCTCCCACTGTGACACCCTTTACTTCTGTTCCTCATAAACCGAGCGCCCTCAGTGATCTACCACCCACCACGCAGGCAGTGTTTATAAAACCCAGGTGGCATTCTCCCAGCTGGAGCCAGCTGCTCACATTACAGAGGCAAGCCCCATGTACCCACCTAGCTCAGGGCCTGGTGCATAGTAGAGGATTGCAAATATTTATTGAATGAATGACCCATGAAAAACATTTTAAAAGTATGGCCTGGCTTCCTTCTTCTACCCGTTCAATTTATGGCTGTTTTCTCTCACCCAAAGCCAGGATGTGCTCAGATATTATAAGCCAATTTTCATATTAGCTTAGAAAAACATAGGGGGAAATTGGTTGCCAATCTAAAGAGGTACATAAGGTTTCTCTTTATGAGAACAATGTGTTTCTTTAAAATGAACACTTGATAAGCTGCCTGGAGTAAGAGGTGAGACTCCAAGGAGTATGTCTAAATAGCAGAAAGCCATAGATCAGTCCTCTAGATTGTGGGGCCGGCTGCTAACTACAGGCCATTAGTCTCACTGGGTTCCTGATGCACTCGGCCATGTGCATCTGGATGTAGATGCTGAAGGCAGAAGGCCGTAGAGGAGACATTTTTAAGTTCAGGGGAATGTCTAGGAGCAAGAATGAACAGTCAGCAAAGTGTGCGTGGACACAGGAACTCATACTTTGGATAAAATAGGTAGGTGAACAGATTCCCCAGAAATGGTGATATAAAAGCAAAGGCTCTGGAGAAGGGAAATATCAAGTGAGGAAGTTTTTTGTAGCATGTGAGAGTAACTTCCTTCTCACACTCCCCGCTCTGTGAGTTTTCAACTTTTCTATTGAAAAGCAGGAAAGGACAGCAGTCTGCACCCATGAGCTAGGACAGGAATTTCCAACCAACGTGCCTCAGCACACTGGTGAGCAGCAAGAATGTTTAAAACATTCAATACCTATTAGTCAGGGGCACTGACCTCTTTTCCCTTACATGGTCAAATAACAAAGTCATGACAGCCAACACAACAATCGTATTCTGGGGTGAATGAATCAAAATTATACCTATTTTTTGTCAGATCAGCAAAAAAATACACTTTTTAGTGTGCTGCAGATTTTTAGTAATTAGTTTATGTGTGCCAGGAGATGAAAAAGGTGGAAAACAAATCGAAAGGAAAGGAGTATTTACTGAGCACCCATGAAGTACCAGGTCTGCTTTCTCACATACCTAATTCCTCATGTATTTACTGCAAATGTATTATCACCTCCATTGCAGATTAATCAGGTCAGAACTTTATTTCATACATATTTATAATTAGCCAAGTTCAGTGACAGTAAGGATGCTGTTTCAGTTGTAAAACCTACATAACTTTTCTAATATGCTACATGCTTTTTCTAATATACTACAGTGCCTCTCAAGCAAACAAAATCTTTGCAAATTTAAGGCTTAAATGTATAAAAAGCGATTAGACTACAATTATTTCTCTAATTTTCTAACGAGCAGGTTATATAACCTTATTCAATTTTAAAAGCCATTTCAGTCTGTAACTGAGAGTATTATCATCTAGATCCCTCTGAAAGCAGCTGGTAGTTTTAACAACAGCGGGTGATACTTCCTTTGTCTGTACCAGACACCATGCGAGGCACCTCACAGGTCATCTTATTTAATCTAAGCACCGTCCCTGCAAGACAGGTAGTATCCCTGTTTCATTCATGAGGAAACAGAGGCTAATAGGAAATAAGTGGAAAGTGAGTGAATCCAGGATCAGTTCTGCTCCTGACTGAAGCCAGGCTTAAATGTCTAGAAATCGTTACCTTTTGTTATCATGTGAATAATAGTAATATTCCGATACTTTTGCTCAAATTACAAATTACAAAGGCATGGGAAGGGAAGGAAAGGAAGTTATACACAGCCACTAAACCCACAGGGCCCATAAGGTGCACTCCTGCGTGCAGCACATCCACAGAGGAGAGCAGCAGCATCAGAAAACACGGGACAAAAGGGCTCCCAATTCCCCACTCGGCTTGTACACAGATGACCCCTGGACGAGCAGCTCAGTGGCTCCCCTAAAGCCTTTCCTAAGCTGACTGGCCTGCGTGCCCGACTGCCTTGCACACGCTGGCCTCCTGGTCCGACTGCCTGCTCAGCAGCAGTTCCCGTCGCAGCACCGCAGCTCTGACAGCACTATCAGGCTCTTTTACTGTTGTTACATTACGTTCTCCCGTTCTAAAACGTCATACACAAGCAGAAGTCCTGATTATAATTCAGCTCAGCCAACACAGGACTCTGTGCTGCACTTCTGTCCAACCATGAAGAAAAACAAGAGAACGAGCACAAAGTATTAGAAACATATCACCAACTATGGGACCCAGAGGGTGAGCTGTAACAATCGTTTAAAAGGATACTTTTGCTCTCTGGCAATAACACTCCTGTACAGCACATAAGTCGACTGTTCGACTTGCACACAAGTGTTTGTAGGCACTGGGTGCATTTGTCTGTGTTGGTGTGGGAGGCCTTATGGTAAAAAGTAAAGTAAAGCAAAAAGAAAATGTAACCAGATCTAACTCTTATGTGCCACAAATTCTAAAAATGATTTTGAAAATAAAAAAATGGCTTACTGCTCTCCATCCCAAAAGTCCATTGAAACCAAAGTGTTCTCTACATTTATAGTGAGGTTCAGCTCAATTGTCTACTGCCAATATTCACAAAAAAATGCATCAAAAATTTAACCAGAAGCTTTTGATCAAAATCTTTACAATTCCTAAGAGCATCTCCCTATTATATTATTAATGATCATCATGAGAGATTTTAAAAGGGTATGGCTTCAAGGTTGTTTTGTGTCCCCAGAAATAGGGTTTTGGGTAACGGGATTAAGAGACACTATATTTGCCCCAAACTGCCCACTTCAAGACCTAACAATTACTGTAAAAAATAGTGTTTCTAGCCCAGCCGGGCGTGGCTCAGCCATTGGGCATTGACCTAGGATCCAGGAGATTGCGGTTCGATTCCCGGTCAGGGCACATGCCCCGGTTGCGGGCTCGGTCCCCAGTCGGGGCGTGCAGGAGGCAGCCGGTCAATGACTCTTTCATCACTGATGTTTCTCCCTCTCTCTCCCTCTCCCTTCCTCTCTCTGAAATCAATAAAGATACACACACACACACACACAGTGTTTCTAGTTACATCTGGAAGCCTAAGAAAGTCTCAGCTCTGCCTTAACACTACTCCTGGGATCAGCTGACTGGGAATGTAACTGTGGCGTGGCAGTCCCTGAAAAACACCTGTGCACTCACACTTGAATTATATGTAAACCGTGGCAAGGGCTGTTCTCTGATAACAACCAATGTCCTTTCACCTTCAAGTTAAGATAGTAAGTATTCCCTGGTTTCACTGGCATAAGAAGTTATGTCTTAGATAATTTCGGTACTGAATTATTACTGCATCAGCTGGCTACTCACGTGACCTGAGTGTTTCCAAGAATCACTTCAGTCTCAAAAGTAAATAATTGCCCTACATGGAGTTTATCTGTTACTGAGGTCCCTGCCCCATGGATCCACTTAAAGTTTTAATCCCACCCCCCTCCAACCCAGGGAACATTTGGCAGTGTCTGGAGACATTTTTGGTTGTCACACTGGGGCTTAGGGGTTGTTATTCGCATCCAGTTGCTATTTGCATTAGAGGCCAGGGATGCCACTCTCCATCAGACAATGCCCAGGAAAGCGCAAAACATCACAGTGTGGGTGTGAGAAACGTCGAGTTAACGCGCAGCAAGGATATTGGGGTCCTGGTGAGGTAAGAAACAAGGTATGAAAGGCAATGAAATATGGCTGTTGTCCTGGTAGAGCCACGATCTTAGATGATGCACCACTTTATGCACAAGGGTGGGCAACAGTAGGTTAAATAACCAGCCATCACTACCTAAAAGATAAATAATGAATAAGGATACAAAATAACAATAATAAAACAAATAAGACAAATATATAATACAATAATAAATTATAATACAAGAATTAACTACTTTTCACATACTCACATGCCCACCCCGGAAATTTTTTTCATCCAAATAGTCCATATGATATTTATATTTAAATATTTTTATTGTCATTTCACAAAAAAAGCAACAGTGTTTGCAGTTACACATGCCTTTCAGTCAGTGCTGGTCATATGCAAAACAAGTTATCAGAAGTATAAAGAAAAATAAGCTTTTTCCCTTTACAAGTGATACAACACAATTTGCATATATAATGCTTTATATATATACACATACTATTTTCAAAATTTTCCACAAAAGACAGATGATATAAATTTAGAATTCCACCCACAAGCTCAGATTCAAGAATTGGAGATCTCCATAGGTGTTTAAATACAAAAATGTAATACCTTTACAAGTTTCCAAGTAACTACTTTTCAACATGTTTGAAAGAGACTATTCTTCACAGCGATGTGGAACGCTTGGCTTGAGTCTAAGCCAAGTGTTAAGTTTTGTCTCAATGTGAGTTTTGTTGATTAATGCAAATGCTCCAATTAGAATTTAATTCTCGTTTGATACACACGCACGCACACATGGGTATGTCATTGTACTGATGGTCTATTCAGTTCAATTTCTGGAGCATTTTAGTCAGCTAAGCCATGACCTTTACTTTCTTTGAAGTATTTTAAATTAAAAACTGTTCAGAAATATCACTGACTACCATGACTAACTCTAAAAAGATGCCCCCTTCTCTTTTATTTATGATCAAAGTTAAATGTGTCATGAATAAACTTTTATTTTTTCTACAGCAGCAGGTATAAGTAACAGCAAAGTATAGGCTAATTTTTCAGCAGTAGAACCTGAGAGTTTGATATGGTAAATAACATCTCTGCAAATTTTCCAAGAGTCCTATCACTCAATGCTTCTAAAAAAAGTAATAATATGGCAAATCTTCAGCATTATATTAATTATAAATTGCACAACAAACCAATGATGCTCAGAAGCTGAAAGGAAGGAAGGAAGGAAGGGAGGAAGAGAGGGACAGGGGGATGGATTTACACGTGCATTTTCTTTGATACAGACAAATATGGAGTCATAATATTTATTATGAGGTGGATGAAGCGTCAATGTGATGTATGATTTCAGGATGCTGAAGGTGAACATACAGGTCTGGGTGTATGAAACGCATGCAAAAACATTCAGCTAATGAGGCAACACTGGCTTATACTTTTTAGTGCACTTGAAGATAAATCTAATGGTGCAGGCACTGAAGAAAAAAGGAAAAAAGAACAAGAATGGTCCAGCTAATGGAGGACTGAGGAGGCAGATACCACACAGAAGAGCTCTGGGTAGGAAAGGACCAGCTTGCCCCACTGTATACATGTCGGGGTTGAAAGGTACAAGGGTTGTCCCTCCAATTTTTTTGGATGTTTTTGGGGCCATTTTGTCAATCACTAGAACCATGGCAATAACTCAGAAGTTTCATTACAAAAATGAAACTAATTTTTACTGGGTACACAGGAATATGCTACTGATGGAACTGCAGCAGGCTTCTACAGAGAATCAGAATTCCAGTCCTCGAAAGTAGCTACTCTCAAGGGGCTTTTATTGGCTTACCAGTCACTGAAAGGTTAATCAACAATAAATTTAAACATACTTTTACCTAGTACTGTTCTCTTGCCTTTCCGAAATTTCCAAAGTACAGGTCCCTTCCCACCATTTCATTCAGTTTGAATCAACAGAGGAAGGGCGGGATCCAATTAGCTTTCACAGCTCAGCCACGCCCAAGTGTCTTCTCCCATCTTACTGGCTACATGCCTGCTGCTATTAGTGACATATCACCACAATGCAACACCTTCAAGTCAGATGGCAGGGAGTTGGTGGAACTTTATTTTTGTTAGGTAATTCAGAGCTCTTCAAGGGACTAAGTAGTAAAGGAAAAATATTTTAAAAAGCAAATTATGTGTGTGTATATTTACATCTTTAAAGGCATAGAGAAGAAAACAAACTCACCACAAAACAGCAACTACTCTAGCTACAGCTAAACGAGGAAATAAGCAGGAAAGGAGGAAATGATCTGTCAATTTATGAAACTCAATTTTAATTAGGTCCCTACATAGCCATGCAAAAGACTGAATACAAATGGAATAACAAAGAACTGAAAACATATTTATATGTATTAAAAATATTTCCCTGCTAGAAATAAACATCCCACTAAAACAAATAAGTCAGTAAACAGCATACAACTATTCTAGTCACTATTGCCTACAAAGGCAATAAGGGGCCAGGGAGAGGGGAGATCTGTCATACACTGATCCTCAATTTTCATTTGGTACCTATACATCCATTCAAAGGACTAGGTACCAAATCAATAACATGTACATTTATGTGTGTGTGTGTGTGTATAAATGTTCACACCCTGTCCTTTCCCCCAACCCTACCCACCCAAATAATCCCTCCCCCTAAAAAACAACCCAAATTGTAAAACTATTCCTGTGCTGGCAGTGGGGGAAGGGGAACAGAGGAGCTTTATCATAGGTCTGGACCTCCATGTTTCATTATGTATGGACAAGTCCCGGCAAAGGACTGAGTACTAAATGAAATAATACACAAATGTAGCAAACATTTATATACATTAAAAATACACACACACACCTCCCCCATCCTCCTACCCCTCCAAAAAAAGCAACCAAACATCTATTCTTCTACCATTGCCCACCAGGGAATGAGAGAAGGGGCATAGGGGAGATATTTCATAGAATCAATCTCAACTTTCATTAAGTACCTAAATAGTCATATAAAGAACTAGATTCAAAATGAAGTGAACAAAAATAGGCAAAACATTTATATACAGTTTAAAAACTACATATCTTGCCTAACAAGCCAATTCCCCGTTAAAAACTCAAGAAACAAACAAAAAGACCCTAAGCCCTACAGTATTCTCATATTACTGCCCTTGAAGACAGGCTATAGTGGAAGGGAGAAAAGACTGACCACACCTCTGGATCTGTGCCTCTGCATTACATCTGATATCTACAAATCCAAACAGAAAAACAGATTTGGAGTGAAAAAACAAAAAAGGCAGCAAACATTTATATATATTTTTTAAAAATGCAAGCCCAGAAATCCCCCATTAACCTTGCTGAAGAAAAAACCAAAAACCCCAAAACCTCTCAACAACTATGCCACTAGTCACTGCCTGCACAGGCAATAGGGAAGGGGAGAAGAGATTTTTTTCATAGAATGAATCTTAATTTTCATCATGTGCCTAAGGGACTATGGAAGGTCTAGGTACAAAATAACAAAAAAAGCAAAAACATTTATATACATTTTTTAAAGTACATATTACCACCCTCCCAGGGAGGGAGTGGTAGAGTAAAAAAATAATCTAGACTACTCTAAAACTATTGCCCACAAAGGCAATAAGGAAAGGGGAAAAGAGGACATTTTCATACATCCGGACCTCCACATCTCATTAGGTACCTACGCGTCCAAGTAAGGGACGGGGTACAGAATGCAGTAACACAACATAGTAACACACACTGTATATATAGTTTTAAAAAGGATATATCCAGCCCTTAGTCCCTTCCCAATCCCCCAAACTTAAAAAAACCCCAAACTTCTTTAAAATTACTGTCTACAGAGATAAAAAGGGAAAGAGACAATAGGAGATTGCTATATATCCAGAGTTCCATGGTTCATTAGGAGCCTACGTGTCCAAGTGAAGGACTGGTGCCCACTGAAAACTATAACAAGAAAGTAGAAAGTATTTACCCCTAGATCCACAAAAGAACCCTGAAACTAGCCAAGTTCTCTAATAGCCATTGCCCACACAGGCAACATGGGGAGGGGAGAAGAGGAGACTGTTATACATCCGGACTTCCATGGGTCATTAGGTACCTTCCAGTCTGGGCACCTAATGAAATAATACAACACAGTAGTAAAAGTAGATATATATAGTAAGTACACATCCCTGCCTGCCTTTCCATGCCCCCCAAAACCCACTCCAACAACTACATACTAGCCATTGCCCACACAGGCAATGAGGGAAGGGGACCAGAGGAGATTGTCATACATCCGGACCTCCACATCTCATTAGGTACTTAAACATCCTATGAGAAGGACTTTGTACAAAATGAATTAATAATACAAAGTAGTAGCAAATTTATTTATATACATTAGGTACATACCCCATTCTCTCCTACACTATAGAACAAAACAAACTACTCTAGTGTCCAAAGAAGCAAAAGGAAAAGAGGAAATCTGTCATTCTGTGAACTTCAATTTTCATTAAGTACATATGCATCCATGCAAAAGAACACATATAAAATGAAATATAAATAAGTAGCATAAAATTTATATACATTTGAAAGAATGATACAGATCTCCCCCTACCCCTAAGACTAGATCAAAACAACAGCACCAACAACTCTATTAGTTATTGTCCATGCAGGCAATAGGGGAGGGGTGCATGGGACATCTGTCATACTTCTGGATCTCCACACTTCATTAGATAGCTACATATCCATGAGAAGGATCAATGAAATACAAAATGAAACAACACCCACAAAACAGCAGCAAAAACATTTGTACACATTTTTAAAAGAACATATGCTGCTCTCTTCCCAGTATCACCACCTTCTTCCAAAACAGAAAATTTAAAAAAACTACTCTATAGCTGTTGCCCACACAGACAATACAGGAAGACAGAAGAGATTTTCATGGATACTATTCCACTTTTCATCAGGACAAAATATACAAAATGAAATATAAAAACACATATGTACATTTTTAAAGTATATACTTCCAAAAAGCCACTGAAAGAAATCAGTCAACTATTCTACTAGCTATTGCCCATGCCGGCAATAAGGGAAAGGGAGAAGAGGAGATTTATCATACTTTTGGACCTCCACTTTTCATTTGGCACTTACTTGCCAATGCAAAGAATGAAGCACAAAGTAAAAATGCAAAAAAATCCAGCAAAATTATGTACATTATTTTTAAAAATACAAATGGGGGTTGGGGAAGCTCTTTAAAAAGAGAGTTAATTCCAATAAAAACACTAAAAACACAGGCAAAGGGGAGAAGAGCTACCTCCTACCTAGGGAATTCAGGTTTCATCCTGCAGACTTAGCCCAGGAACTACTATGCTTGGTGATGACACATCTCCTGAGGTGCGTACGCCTTCCCTGCAGCCCCACAAAATGCACAGGGATTATATGATGGGGCAGCAATCTGACTACTGATTATGGTGCCAGGTGCTTTAGTCTGAGTAGAATTTTTAAAAATCCAAGTCAGTAACAGGCTATCAGTAATTCAACAAACTCAGCACTTACTTAACTTTCATTTTTTACTGTCCAATATTCAGAAAGGATTCTATTCTGTACCCAGTAAGACTGATGCAGCTCAGCATCCTCTATGTACCCAGAGCTCTTCTGCCAGCTCTTTTGTTCCTACAATGTTTAAGTACAATAAAATGAAAACATGAGTGGCAAAGAATATTAAGAGTTAAGTGGAACCTGTGATAGAAAGTTGATGAACACTGAAACAATGGCAAAGAAAACAATTTCACTTAAAGAGATTTATATAATCAGCAAGATGGAGGAAGGTGCAGGCTTATGGCGGAGGCCGACACTCCTTGCAGTTTAATATATCCAATCACTTGATATTACAGAACTGGACTCCTTAGATTTCTACTTTCATAGCTTTTCAAATCTCCAAAACATAAGTGTTGTGTTCCCACAATTTTGGATTTCCCATTCTACCTTTCCTAAGAATCTAGGTATGTCTTTTCAATTTGTAGACTGTCCATCTACAATGCATATAATACTTGTCAAACAAGTATTTAATCGTATCATGGACTTATGTGCTTATATAAAAAGCATACTGTGACTGCTGTGCTTCGATCTATTTGTGTTCTCAGAAATATAGTGGCTAAAATAAAGTTTTTTGGGGAAAACTTCAAAAGCTACAATTACACATATTATACCACATGTTTTACCTATTAACCTTATGTTCCCGACAGGTTAGTTTCAGATGTCTCATATAGATGGGTTCACATATCATTGGAAATTATGGAATTCTGAGGGAAAATGTGAGGTAAGGCCTACTCAAACTGCAAATAATCTGAGGCAAAGCCCACAAATACAAGTACAAATATTGTGGATCCGGTTTCACGGGAATGAATGGCTTTTGAGTACAAAGATAACAATGGATTATGAGTTACCTCTTTTTTAGTTGAAGTTTTGATAAAGTTTTACTTATAATAATAACTCCCCCTGACACCACACACTCACAGGAAAAATTATATAATCCAGGACAAAATTTGCCATACGCATAGTTAACACACGTTACAGGAGCAATGTGAAGATGGGTAGGTAAAACTGAAGCATCTTAACTGATTTTGAGAAGTAGCAAAATTTAAATTCTGTATCAAAGTGGGATTTTGTAATATAGCATGATTAAAAACAACAGCAACAAAAACCCCTCAAAAGTTTAGTATTTTTTCCCTACTCTAAAAATATAAAAACTCACTTTCATTATCAACTAAATTATCATTCATTTACTGAAGCACAAAAGGAATAAAGACCTACAATTACCCCAGTTTCAATAAGACATCTTTAAATGATGCTGTGATTCTCAGGATATAATGTTTTCTACTCTAAAACAGAGAGATAAATGTTTAGAAAAGACTAAATTGGGTGAAAACACACTAGGAGTAAAGAAGGCTATCTTTCAGCTTGCCAGCCTTTTAAATTGTTATATAAAAATATTTTCATAAAATAAAATATAATTTTATACACAATCCGACATATTTTCATTTTATACTTGCTGAATAAAAAAAGGTGACCTTTGCCATTGTCTGATTCTGTGGAGTGTTTTAAGTGCTTGCAAATGGGCAATTACCCTTTTTGTACAAAGAAGATGTTTCAAACAAAATGTAAAGTACAAGAATTATTAGGAAGAAAGTTTTTCTCCTAAGAATCAAAGAAACACAATACTCTAGGTATAAGTCTGCAGAGCTCAAAAAATTCAAGTACAGTATTTCTCCTTTAGAAGGAGTAAAAATGCCATACAGTTTTGGATTTCTCCCTCATTTTTCTTTGTTTCTTTCTTCTTTGGACATTCCTTTTAATCTGTTAGTTTGGCCATGGTAAAATAAAACTATGAATTTTCAACTAAAGAAAAGTACTGTATTTAACAGTAGAAAAAATTCAAAGCCCACCATATTCAACCTGAATCAAGTTAACCCCTCTCACATGCTCTCATTCCTTTAAGGTACTATGGTGAACTTCAAATAAAAATGTTCAATTTCTCAAAGGCCCTACTTTAAAATGTTTCTAATGTGCTACTCTATCATATAAAATGAAAATCCACCTATGGGTATGATTCAGAGAGAAAGTGTAAATAATCTATCATGCCAAAAGGCATCTAAAACAACCTTTATTTTTAGGAATAGTGATAAAAGACTCCAGTACTAACAAAATGTTTGCCACAACTTTGGAAATACTTATTTATAACATAAGGTATATATATGGCAGGGAGTGAGAAAGGTGCGCTGATTTGGAGAATACTGAAACTTAAGAATAAAATAATTACAATTAAAGCTATTTTGGTTTGAAACATTTTCCTAAAAGATGAAAAAGAAAATGTTAAATATTGGGAAAATGTAATCTTTTGGCCTTGTTATTTAGCTTTTCAATATAACAAAAATTTAAAAATTCTATAGCACCTGGCTACTCTGCAGAGAAAATAGTTATAGATCTTATTTAAAATTTTCCCAGGAAATAAAGGATTAATCAAAACCCCAAATCAAAGTAGATCTGCACACCTGAGATCAGCTCTCTAAGTCTCATGCTTCATCGACTTCACTGCCATACTTTTTTTAAGCTGCTACCACATTCAATAACATCTACCAACAAGAAGCAACACATGGCTCACAAACCAGCAGCCTGCACAGATGGTGGCTCCCCTGGAAGATCTTTCCTTGTTTCACTGGGTCAGTACTTTACCGATACTGAGAAACAGAACAGAATTCCAAAACAGATTTTATTCCCCATTTGGGCATTTTCAAAGTAGAAAAATTACTTATTGTTTTTGTAGATGGTTGCCATATAGGTGAAATTTGTAATAAATAACTATGTACTGCCCAAAGACATTTCAGGAAAGACCGATGAAAAATACAGACGGGCCCTGAGCTAACTAGAACTTCCAGGAATGCAAACAACTCAGCAGCTATCCTTGGCTTCACCTTGGCTTTTGCAAAAGTTAACAAGCGGAGCCCAAGTTAACAAGCTCTCTGAGTGGGTGACGAAATGAGGTGCAGTTGTGCATGCTACAGCCACCCTGCCAGAGTTTTCAGGTTCTTCTCCATCCACTGGATATTCAACTGAATGACTTCCAAAGCCTCCTGGACACAACGAAGCCGGAAGGTTGCCTCTGACTGATTTTCAAAGAATGCCTGAACCTGCAAGTTTCACACAGAAATATTTCAAAAGAAGAAAGTAACAGTAAATCTCAGGTAACTCTGAATATACTTTTCAAATAAACTTTCACTTAATGATAGCTAGGCTGATGTCTTGAAAGAAGTGGAGGCAAGAAGTACTTTAATGCCCAGGGTATTTATATCAAGTTACTGATCAAGTATGGAGAAATCTAAAGTAATCTTAAAAATGCATTTTCCTTACTCCCACACAAGGATGAATTTTTCAAATTTAAAATAAAAAAATAAAGTGGCCAAGTAACAGCAAGTGAAGTAGAATTGGAAGGTAGGCCTGGTGCCCACTTCACCCTTGGAGTGGCCTTCTTCACGACAATTTTACCACTAAGAAACCTGGCATATACTGATCTTAATTTAAACATTATTTGTATCAGGGAGACAAGGGGATATTGCTGAGAATGGAATCACAATTTTTCATCAGAATTTTTTCTCATTGCTGTATGTCCACCCTTTAGAAGTAATCCCAGTGCAGAATCATTAGCACTGATGAAGGCAGAGGAGGGCCAGGAACCGGCATAAAAAGCCACCATCTGACTTAACCCGAGCAGCCTGAGAGAAAAGGAATACCCATCTCCCTTACTAGCATTTTATACAACCAACCTCCGACAAGTGTGCCTTTGTTGAAAACAGGTGAGTTGATCCAGCAACAATACTCTGTATGGTATAGGAACCCAGATGGAACCTGAAGAAACACAAACACAAGAGCAAAAAGAGCAAAAACTGAGGCAGCTGTTGGTGAGCTAGTCCCTGAGTGCTAAGGAAATGCTCTACTCTAAGCCACGTGTGCCAAAGGCAGAGCAGAGTCCCTCTGCTGGGAACCCGCAGCTCGGTAAGTTAGAGCAGTCCTACACGCACCCACTGCCGTGTGAAGGGAAGGTGGGCAAAGGCAGGAGCTGGGGATATCCACATAAATTATTAATTCATTTGATCTACTCAAAAACCACAAACTTCCACAAATGTAATTATTGCTTTAAAATAAAAAAAACCTATTCGTGCTGTCTACCTGGGTGTGAGTTCTGAACAGATCCCTTGGCAACAAAAAGGCATTTTTAACACACATAACTAAACAGCTATTCTGAAATAGCCCGTGGCCATGCTGAACTGAGTGACCTGGCATCGGGCATGGTCAGGCTTGACAGGCGCTCAAACGGACCACCACTGTTAGGTGACTCACACTATGGAATTATGTTTATAAAAATGTGAAATTTCCTGGGTGCTTCAGTTAAATGTTATTGAAGCATTTTTCCTCTCACAGCAAATCATAACACCTATGAACCAATACAACACTGGGCATATTTTTCAAATGCAGAGACTGAAAATACTAAAAGCTAGTAATTCTCTGAGAAACTTACTTCTGTACAAGCTTATTCCAGTTCTCTTTGACAAAATCCCACGCCAATAAGTGTCCAGGAAAATGCTGGCCCACTGTTCTAATGACAAATGACAGCTTTTGTGTTCGGATGATATCTCCACTGAGGCTAGTTTTCATTAACCTAAAAAGCAAAACAGATTTAGCTTCCAAAAAAATTATTCATGATGAAGTGATGGCTGCACATTAGTCCTGGTCTCCTAATTATAGCTCTGTAGTAATTCAAGGGATATAAATTTCGGGTTAGTCTAAGATAGATCAATAAATCGAAAACTTGTCATTTTTTTTAAATGAAGAACTCACTAATGAGATAAGCACTTCAATATACTGTGACATTAATACATAGTTCTTGATGTAGTAAGGACATTTGAGAAATAAATTCTGGTAGAATTTATAATTCTGAAGACTGATTTTTTTTTTTGGTTAAAAATGTTATTTGATTTGAATAGGCAGGTATATTATTACTCTTAAAAACTGGGTTGTTTAAATAATGTGAAAATGAAGATACATTTCACAATATACTCTTGATATTAATGGTTATTATTCATTAATACTTCATATGTACTAGATGTTCTAAATTGTTGACATAACAATGCTTGAAAAAGGTAATCATTACCTATCCCCACTTTATAGTTAAGAAACTGAGGTTATATAAATTGCCCCAGTTACACTGCTAGCAAACAGTAGAGCCTGACATCTGAACACAGCAGTTCTCATCCACTGTGCTATAAAATCTGTATAGAGAGAAAACACATATCCCCAAAAGAATGCAGTAATATTTTTAACAGAAAGAAAACCCAAGTGCTTATCAAGCTGTGATGGGTTAAACAAATTATGACAAAGCCACACTATGAGAATACTATGCAGCCATGAAAACAAATGAAGCAGGCTTCAAGAACTGACATGGCAAATCTCAGAGACTGATCATTCGCTCTGATAGGACCATCACAAAACACTGGGGATAGTATAAACCTATGTTGACATATAAATATACAGACCAGGATTGACACTGTTAACAGAGAGAATAAGAATGGAAGTAACTGATCATATGAGAGAATCGTATGAGAGACACTTTCAAGTTTTATTCCATTTTCTTAGGTATTATTTAAATACTTTATAATGGGACTTTATTAGTGTGTTACCAATTTAAAACAGAATTATTACTAATTTAAAACAAAAACATTTCTCTATTTGCTTGGATCAGAGGCTGGTTACTATTTTAAAGGAAATATTTACAGTGTATACTTTGGAAAGTAGGTCTGGGCAGGTGCTGAGGAAATCTCTGGGACACTATTAGGATTTATCTGAGCAAAATTATACAAGAGAAGCAATGACACCCAAATGCCTCCCTCCTAGTACTGACTCTCAAGATCCTTCCATCATTCCCTCGGCTCCCCGGAACTCCTCCACCGGCCACTGACTGTTCTTCCTGTCAGGAGCACTACTCATTGCCCTTCTTTCCCCATGTGAAACTCCCATTTCCAGGTCTTCATCAGCTAGATATTAAAAGGGAAATTGTCTGACAAATTCATATGAAGGTATAGCCTATAAGCTTTTACATGGCACCATTTTCTATAGTGTCTGTATTTTTAAAATGACAGCTTGGACAGAGCAATGCCTTGACCAGAAAGAATGAAGCTCTAACTGTGGAATTAAGACAACATGCCAAGGGGAAGAAGTGTTTAAGAAGAAAGTAGGCAGGGATTGTGACTCTTGGCATCTTCCAATCTCCTCTGGGCAAAGCACCTTCTGCCTATCTATCTAATTCCTGAGATGAAACTCAGCACATGCGGGCACCTTACCACACTGACCAAGTCAGGTCTGGGCTGTGAGTAAAAGGGGAAAAGGGCCATCCCAGAGAAGTGAGCTCCCCACCAGTGGAGCACAATGCTTCCATGCTCTTGGTGTCTATATATCCTATTTCTTGGGTGGTTTCGTACCAGTAAAGCTTCCGTACATCCTCTGAGCTGGCAAGAGCTTCAAGTATTTTATTCTTCTCTGCTTCAGAGCCTACAGAGGTGTACTTGCTTAGGAGGGACAACCAGCCCCTCTCAGTTCTCGCTCCAACTTTGAACACAGCAGTCATGACATCAGTAGGTAGGCTGTAAGAGAGGTGGTCAAATATGAGAACAAGAAAAAATCCTGGATTCAAAGGTAAGGAAATGACTAGTGGTAGTGTTTTTGGGGTCAGTGTAGAGTACAACAGAAGAGTCTTACTGTATAACTAACAGTGAAGAAAATGGTTAATTTAGTCCTAGTTGGTAGGACTATAAGAAATATCAATTCAATTTAATACAATAACTACTTGCCGAACATCCACAAGAACGAGGCAGGCAACTGGCTGGCTGATGAAGAGGGAAAGAGACACAGTCTGCCTGCAGGAACTCACAGGCTATCACAAAGTACAGAACAATAAATATATGCGTTACAATACAGTGTGGTAAGTTCCATGGTAGAAATACGGAGAGAGGGATAAGAAGAAGGGAAAAAGCATAGTTTTCTGCCATTATTAAGATCTGTTTATCTGATGCTTGACTCTTTCCATAATGCCCAACCTAGGAAACCTAGAGAGAACTAATCATCATCAAAATATTTCTACTAATTGCTAACTCCACCTCACACCCATTAGGATGGTTGCTACCAAAAAACCCAGGAAATAACAAGTGTTTGTGAGGATGTGGAGAAATTGGAAGGAACCCTTGTACACTGTTGGTGGGAATGTAAAATGGTGCAGCCTCTATGAAACAATGTGGCAGTTCCTCAAAAAATTAAAAATAGAACTACCATATGATCCAGCAATCCCACTTCTGGGTATAGATCTGAAATAACTGAAAGCAGGGTTTCAAAGAGATATAGTACACCCATGTTCATAGCAGCATTATTCGTAAGAGCCAAAAGGTGGAAGCAATGTCCATCAATGAATGAATGGATAGGTGAAATGTGGTCTAGACATACAATGGATTCATCATGCAGCCTGAAAAAGGGAGAACACTCTGACACAGACTACAACGTGGGTGAATCTTGAGGATATTAAGTGAAACAAGCCAGTTACAGAAAAATACTGTATGATTTTACATATATCAGGTATTTATAGAGCATTAAAAACTCATAAAATAGAAAGTAGAACAGTGGTTTCCAGAGGCTGGGGAGAGGGGAAGGTGGGGAGTTGTTTGGATAGAAAGTTTTAGTTTTGCAAGATAAAGTTCTAGAGATTTGTTGCACAACAATGTGAATATGCTTATACTACTAAACTGTACATTTGAAAATTGTCAAGATATTAAATTTTATGTTATATCTATTTTTTAAAAACCGGTATCATTTGAGAACATAAGCGCATAGAGTTCACATACATTGACACTCAGTTTTATAACATGTATGACCCAGGATGAGATGATCCTTGTTTTAATATATAATGTGAAGTAATGAAGAGGAAGAGGGTTCATTTGAGCAGAGCACACATCACCTAAGAGTTCCATTGGATGCCACCCAATCGTCAAATAGCTTCATGGCAGTAGAACTGCAGTTCTCCAGGCTGTGGGTGCAAGCAAATTCTAGCAAGGCTGACCGCAGCTCTCGAGCAGATGGGGTGCCCTCATCAGTCCAATTTTGGTGTTGAATTTGGCTTTGAAGCAATTTAAATACTCTGGTCTAGAGAGAAAAAGTGTTTTATAATGTAATAATAATAATTAGGACAACCAAAAAAATAAGGACGACTAGATCTCTTTCCCAACATTTACCCAAGGAAAAAAAAGGCACGGGGGACACAGGTATTACTCACCAAATATCAACTGCCCGCATACAGCTGGGATGAACCATTCAGTGACAAAGTTTATACAAAAGGCTAGTATAGTCAAGAGGGACTTTTAAGATATAACACAGAAAGAATTAGTGGCTTCTTGAAGTAGGGAACCTTTCTCCTGTGTGTACTCAGCAAGAAGTTATTTTCCTGTCTCACAGTACCACTGCTTGAAGGAAGCTGGAACTTACCGACCTCATGGCTTCAGAATTCATAAATCCAAATAGCAGTGAGAGAAAAATATAGTTCTTTAACTCATGAGTAGATGTTTAAATGTTTGTCAATCCAATATTAAATTAATACTTAAAATATCAACTAGTTTGATGATGTAACAAATTAATCTAATTAGTGAGAAAATGAGGACTGCAAGAAAGTATAGTTGTTTATGGTTATTTTTTCTCCACCCAACATTTATTTTAAAAATTCTGAACCTACAGAAAAGCTACAAGAATAGTACAATGCACAACCATATGCTAGATTCACTGTTTTTTTAATACTCTTACATTTGCTTTGTTTCTGTGTGTGTATAATGCACATACATACACATATGCTTTAATGGTTTTAGCTGAACCATATGACAGTAAGTTACAGATATCATGATATTTCATTTACAAATACACTGGCATGCAACTCCCAGAAACAAGAACATTCTCCTATATAACCATGATACCTTATCACACTTAAAGATATTAACAGTTAACATCATCCACTATTCAGTCCACTGTTAACAGTTTCTTCTGAATAAGATGTAATTCTTAAATGTATACTTATGGTATTAAGAAATCAACAAATCTCTTATTTCTTTTCCATCTCTCCCTACAACAGAAGTGTGAAAGCTATTCATAGTATATGGAGGTACTTCCATGTTGCAAACTGTGGTGCATGGGGAGGAGTGAAGACATATGGGATTTAAAAAAATCATCTTGTAAAACATGCATTTATGAATGCCACTAAAAAGAATGCAAATTTTAATATAAAATGCTTACAGGTAGTTTTTAGAAAAACTTCATGGCTCTGAATAGGAGAAACAAAATGAAAAAATTTACACGCACACCTCGCCGCAGGTCTCAGCACAGGGGCAGGTCTTCCCACTGGTATTTCTTTACCAGCATCACTCTTCTCATGTCTCAACTCAACTACTCCAGATGACCACATACAAAAACTCTCAACCCCAGAAAATTAGTTCAAGTTCTTCTCGGAGCATTATATTCTTACAGAGTACCACTGTCAACATCCGAAATGAATCCTAGTCGGAGACCTGTAAACTGTGAGGCCATTTTCTCAGAAGACCTCTGAATAAACCTCCTGTGGAGCTATGAGAACAGAAACAAGAACTGGTGCAAGGAGGACTCAAAGTTGTGATGATACATCAACTTGCTTTTGTTTGTTTGCTGCAAAAGCAATAAAATAGAGAAGAGGCATCTTGTGGAATGCGTGAGTAAGCTTGTGAGGGACTGGGAGGACGTGAAGTGGAAAACTACTTGTTTTGATGATTGATAATGCAAGAACACAAAAGCAATGCCGGAGGCCCTATTGGGTCCACATGACTGCTTTGGTGCATGCTGTCTTCACTGGCCTCACCTGCTCAACAGCATCACGATAGCAAACTATCCCAAGTGACTGAAGCGAAAAAGAAATTCTAAAGCTACTCACAATTGTCAAATAGAAACAAAAAGGGAATGAAAGAAAAAAAAGTCACATGCTTGAAATGCTGTTTTCAAAAGTTCAGTGGAGAAAAATGGAAATGCTCCTTGAGAATTACCTAAAACATAAAGTAGCCAGTGCACAAAACATGGCACTCAAAAGAACTGGAGGCAAGAGGGACCTGACATTTGAAGATGCTAATGCTAATTCCTGAGCAGTTACTTCATCAGAATTACATGGTGAAATGTTACTAGTTATTCCCGGTACACCAAACAGTCAAGAGGAATTACCGAAATAGTTGATTTCACTTATACTTCAAATGGTAACATAATAGAGTAAACATAAAATATTTTCTTTTTAAAAAAAATTTTAAAGAAAATTCCAGGTTATATTTTTAGTATTAATCAACCATAGCAAGCGCTTCAAATTACCTCTGCCTTTAAAAAAATACATTTAAGCCTATTTTTTCCATGGTTCTAAATTAATTTTTGAAATTTAAACTCATTAAACAATAGAATCTCATCCTCTGGTTTCATACAGTGAAAATGGCAAGTGGGGAGAGGGGATACAGCTGCTAAACACAATTCAAGCAGTTAAACCTTTCGAACATTTTCCTACTCTGGCACTTAAGTAGGGTTATACAAGCTACAAACACTGGATATGCAATAAAATGCAACAACAACATAAAATGATTTAAAAAATAAAACAGGGAAAGATGCTGGCACTTACGTATGACATTTTGATTTACTGCTTTAATTTTACACTGACATGCCCAGGGAGTTCTTTCTTGGGTCAACTGAGCTTCTTGAAAGTGAAGTGTCAGCCTTTATTGCAAAAGGTTTATCTCACCAATCCCTCATATGTATAAGAATGACAGACTTATAAGTGATGAGACAGAAATATGGTTAGGATCAGATGTTAACATCATATGTGAACAATCTGACACAAGTCAAATGTGTCTCCAGACCCTACACACCGCAACACCATAGCATACATCACAAAATGTGATCTATGGGTATGTGTTACGTAGGTATGTGCAGCCTACACAACAAAATAACCAATAAGTGTGCATACTGCTCTGGGGACAATGACATAAAAAATTAGACAGTAGTATTAATCACGAGTACTATTTGAAGACTGGATCTAAGGACTCAGAAATGTCTGCCATTTTAATCTCTGACTACAGTAGGTCAGACTTCATATTTTGAATTTTGATGCTACCAGAATGCCCTAAAATTAGAATAAGAATTTTAAAGAGACAATTTCTCCCTCTTGATGAATTTAAGCTAACCTGACTTTTAACTAACAATCAAGTGTATGAAATCTCCAGAAGTAAAAGGGCCTATGGTCTTCCAAACACATGTGTGGCCTCCTGCCTTTGCCTTCTAACCATCGGACCTCTGGACCCCACCCTGAAATATGCTCTTTTTTTTGTTTTATTGATTTTTAGAGAGAGAGGACAGGAGAGGGAGAGAAACACTGATGTGAAAATGAAACATGGATCGGCTGCCTCCTGCATGCCCCATACCAGGGATCTAGCCTGCAACACGAGCATGTGCCCTGACCTGTAATCAAACCAGCAACCTTTTGGTGAACAGGACAATGCCCAACCAACTGAGCCACACCAGCCAGGGCATGAATTATGTTAAGAAGCACATACCTGTCCAGCAAACTGGAAGTTATCATCTGGGATGAAGATGCAATTACTTGAGTGCACACAGTAGCAAAATATTCAAAAGGTTTAACTCCTTTGTGTTTTGCATCTATATTCTCAGCAGAGGGATAGCTTGAGGTAAGTTATCAAGTGCTTCCTGACACTGGACCTCAACAGTTAATGGAGAAAGGCGGAGGAAGAGTGGCTTCTGCCATCCTGAAATTTAAATAATATTCCCCAAAACCTTATGTCTGACTGCAACATGTGAATGTGACCTTATTTGGGAATAGAATTTTTGAAGATATAAACAAGTTAAGATGAGGTCATATTGGATACGGTGGGCCCAAATCCAATGACTGGTGCCCTTATAAGAGGAAATTTGGACAAAGAAACACAGGAAGAAGGCCACGTGAAGATAGAGGCAGAGATTGTAGTGATGCAACTACAAACTAAGGAATGCCAAGGATTGCTAGTAACCTCTTGAAGCTAAGAGAGATGCAAGGAATAGATTCTCCTTCAGGAGAAATCAACCTTGCCCTGATAACACCCAGATTTAAGGCTATCAGAACTGTGAAAAAATATGTTCTGTTGTTTTAAGACACCAAGTTTGTAATAATTTATTATGGTGACCCTAGGATACTAATATATTACCCCAAATAGTCTTGATTTGATATGGGACTAATAACCCCCAAAGTAATCATAGAAATTCTATAATAAAAAATATATATATGTATACAGTTAAGTATACAGGTGCTGGATCAATTAGATATCCATACTGAAAAGAAATTAATATTTATGTCTACTTCACACCATAAACAAAAATCAATTCCAGGTAGATCATAAATCTAAATATAAAAGGTAAAATAAAAGTTTTCAGAGGAAAACACATGAGAATATCTTGCATTAGGCAGATTTCATACCATAACATTAAGAATTTATGCTAATTAAAAAATCATTAAGAGAGTGAAAAGCAAGCCAGAGCTGGAGAAGATATCTGTAAATATATATGATCAACAAAGAACTCATAAATAGTATAGAATTCTTACAAATCAGTAAGAAAAAGGCAGACAATCCAATAGAAAAAGAAATGAAAGACTTGGGTACAAAAGAGAATATCCAGCTCTGGCTGGTATGGCTCAGTTGGCTGGAGCATATAGCCTTTTACAGCAGAAGGTGGTGGGTTAGATTTCCCATCAGGGCACATACCAGGGTTGCAAGTTCAGTCCCCGGTTGGGGCATGTTTGGGAGGCAACCAATCAATGTTTCTCTCTCATATTGATGTCTCTCTCTTTTCCTCTCTCTAAAAATAAATTTCAAAAGAGAGAGAGAACATCCAATGGTCAATAAACATATCAAAAGGAATTTATCTTCACTTTAGGGAAATGCAAATTAAAGCCAAAATTGCAATATCACGATGCACCCATCCAAATGGCTAAAAGAAAAAAGGGTTTGCTATTACAGTGGTACCTTGGTTTTCGAACACCTCCGTTGACAAACATTTCGGGTTACAAACGCCGTAAACCCGGAAGGAAATGCTTTGGTTTTCGAACACGCCTTGGAAGTCGAACATGCCACAGGGCTTCCACTGAAGGCAAGAACCTGAGTCCTAGCTGTCGGCTGCTGAACCCTCGGTTTTCAGAACTCCAACGGTCTTCCGGAACGGATTACATTAGAAAACCGAGGTACCACTGTAATATTGAGTGTTTCCAAAAATATAGATCCAGAATAGAACTCCAATTCTCATACACTGCTGATGGAGCATTAAATTGGTGTAACTTTGAAAAATGACTTGGTAGTACAGTGTTTACCATGCATATGTTTTGACTCAGCAATTCCACTTCCGGACACATACCCCATAGAAATTCACCAAAGACATGTATAAGAATATTCACAGCAACACTATTTGTAATAGCTCCAAACTCCAAACAACCCAAATGTACATCTACAGTAGTTGAACTGGCTAACAAATGGCCTATTTCTTTAATATACTAACAGTAGAAAGTCCGTGTCAGATTATAAGTTTGCCCTAAAGAGACCAATAAGTTATTTGTATACTTCTTGGAAATGCACATCAATACTACAAGGAAGTAACTAGATGTGGGTCTGTGATTTTAAACTTTAAACACATGATGTACAAGCTTTTGAGCCTGTTTTAATTTAAAATTTCAGTTTAAAAAAGAATGATAGCAAGAAAGAAAAAACTTTGATTTTTCCCAACAAAAAGGTATCATTGGAAAGATGACATTGCTAGAATACAAATTAGTTTAAAATATAGTAACATAAAGCAAAGAATGGGCTTTGAAATGAAATCAATGTGAGTTTGAATCTCGGCTTTATAAATGACTAGGTAAGTGACTTTGGGGAAGTTATTTAGTCTCCTCATTTACCTCATGAGGGTAGAAATATCTATTTGGGCATTGTATGAGGATTAAATGAGGTAATCTACATTAAACACCAAGCATGGTGTACAGGATATAATAAGCACTGAAATGTACTTGCTTCTGGAGTGTCTCGCCCATTTATTCATTCCACATTTACTGAATGTCACTATGGGCTGGGTCACATTCCAGGCACTGGTTTTTATTAAGGCTGGTAGTTAAAGCCTTATGAAATAGAAGAATGGCAAAAATCTATCAATTAGAAGAGACCTCAGAAATCATCTAACTTAAGCATCTCATTTATGGGTAAGGATGGGGGTTGCTCCTTTGGGGTCAGATCAGAAACTTGTGAGGAAGGGTGTTTTTCAAGCTCCACAGTCCCTTCTCCCATTGAGAATCATGTATGTGATAAGAACTCATGACATGGGATGCACAGTAGGTTAGAAACAGCAGCAGAAAGAACATCGTTAAAAAGGAAAAGATGTAATCCAACCTCTTGCTTTTACCATGAGAACACCAAAACCCTAAAAGACTTACTCTAATTCCTGTTCCAGTACTTTCTTCCTTTTCCTGAAAGCTGCCTTTTGCTTGGTCCCTGGAAAACCTGACCAGTTTACAAAGCAAGTCCTGTTGTCAGAATGTGCTGACTCAGAGAATTGGATAAGACAAAGGATTCATCACTCCCTCCCAAGCTTTTAAAAACTCAGTCAACGGTTTAACACAGAAGTGTCTAAAATAACAACTGTTAAGATCAGGCAACTGTTTTTTTTTTAAAAAAAAAAGAAAAGGTAACAGTCTCCAATATCAAGACTCCCTGCTGCTTTGCTTTGCAGAGAAATTTATATCCACCAGCATCCTCATCGATAAGATAAACTTAACTGTCATTTAATATTGACGACTAGGATAGTAATGGGGAGCACTACTTTGCAAAAGGGTCCATTTAAAGCATTTATTATATAAAAATTTGAATAGAAAAATTCTCTTTTTATGTGATAGTAGATCAGAAGTCTATATTTTGATATTCAAAGACCACATCATGCTAAGCCTTTATCAGCTCTTCATGGTAAGCAATGACATTGATTCAAAGTAAAGGTCTCTTGGAAAGTGAAGAAAATGGAATTTAGTTCCTTTTCAGCCTGTTACTATTGCTGAATGGAATTATGAATAACCATATTAAAGGCAAGCAACGAAGAGAAGCTGACAAAAAGACAGACTTACCACCAGTCTTGAGGCCAAATCCATGTATCCTAGCTTTTCAAGGAGGTTATAGATGAGGCCTGTCTGGAACAGGGCTTCAGTGATAGGTGCCGTGTAGGTCTCATTTCCAAGATAATCAATCAAATCAAAGGCCCTCTGAAGAGGCACTTTGCCTAGGCTAAAGGGTAAAAGAACAGAAAAAGTAAACATGCTGACAAAGGCAGACAAACTCTATGCCTACCGAGAAGGACATTTTATGGTCAGATGGTGAGTCTTAAAGACCTAAAATTTAAGCTTAGAGTGTCATTCTGTAAAGTTAGACTAAATGTTATTACCTTTGATTAAGTTCATGTGTGTGACACAAGGTTAAAAACACATTAAAAAAATAAAATAAACAATTGCTCCATTTTTATTCTATAAGTCACCTGTAAATTGCTACTGACTCAGGAAAAGTATTACAACATCTTGGTAAGAAATGATGAAAAGTACTAATTTTATTTATTTTTTTAATTACTTACATTTACCAGGTGAGAACAGGTGACATAAAGAGGAGCTGAGTCAGAAGGAAAATTATTTATATGGGAGTTTGTTTCTCAAACTTGTTAAAGCGAGGTTCACTGTGAATTTATGGTAAGTACACTTTTAAAATTAACCATTTTTGCCTGGCTGGGCGTGGCTCAGCGGTTGAGCATCGACCTAGGATACAGGCAATCAGGGTTCGATTCCCGGTCAGGGCACATGCCCAGGTTGCGGGCTCGATCCCCAGTCGGGGGCGTGCAGGAGGCAGCCGATCAGTGACTCTCTCATCATTGATGTTTCTATCTCTCTCTCTCCCTCTCCCTCTCTTTTCCTCTCTCTGAAATCAATAAAGATATATTTAAAAATAAATAAATTAAATTAACCATTTTATAGAAATCATAATGATGGCTGAGATGACATAAGGTCATTTCATTAAAAAATGAACCAAAATAGGAAGGTCAAGAGCAGTCAGAGGGAACACTTCTGAATATTTCTTTTGTTTATAGATCCATTAACAACTTATACTGGTAATCTTCCTATTCTGAAGAAATCTATACACCAGGTCACTGCCATTCTTGGCTTTGGGATTCCGCATGAGGTGATGGGTGAAGCAAGTATACACATAAATAAGGCAGCTCTAGATATCAGAGATGTCCCTCATATGGTGAGTAAGCGCCAAGCATCACACTTAAACCAAGTGCTGCTTGAAAGGAATTCTCTCAAGAAATAAAACAAAGCTTGAACTACATCAATTTATTCAGAAAATATGGGTCCTGCCTGTTGGCATCTACATTCTTGAAATGTTATTTAAATCTTGTTACTTAACTGTTCAATATTTGTAGCTAATGTTTCAATATAGATCATAAAGTCCCTGAAGGCAAGCACTATGTCTTACATTTTCCAGTTCCTCCAAAATGAATTATATCTAACAGGCAATATATGCTAGTTCTTTTGAACTGTTTTTCTAAAATGTTGTTTTTCTCAATATCACTTGTTTAAAAAACAAACAAACCAAACCAAACCAAACCAAGTATACTCTACCCTGCAAGTTCAAAGATGTTATTGATGAGGTTGGCTCGGTCTTTGTCACTCAGCACATAAGGATTTATTTTCAACTGTTTGATTAGTGCGTCCCAGTCATCATCTGCATAATGTACGATATAATAGCCAGTCATGTCTGTATTGACTTTGATCCACTGCACTTCTTCTGTAAGATTGATGACATCTAATACAGACCAAAAAATGAGAGGGGTGGAGGTGGGGAAGAGAGAGAGAGAGAGGAGGATAAGAGGGCCAGAAAAAAAATTAAACAGATGCTTTGTTTCAAAGTTATAGTATATTTTTATATTTGATTATTCTACTAAGAAACTAAATCTCTGCCTTTCAGCACAATTATTTTCACGTTAACAGAGATTACCAATCATTCATTTAACAATTACTTATTTAATGGTGAACAAGGTATTTATGTCCCTTCTCTCATAGATATTACAGCCTAATGTAACCAGGCAGGTAGAATTCATATAAATGTTACTGATGGAAAAAGAAAATATGATATTCCATGGAAGTACACAGAAGAAATGCTTCATCCCCTAAGGAAAGTTAGGAGAGATTTCCCGGAAGAAATAACAGTTAAGTTGAGACTTTAACATATATAGATGTTGGCCAGGTAAAGAGTGTTCAAGACCCAGAGAAAAAGTATCCATGGTATCCACACACCAAACTGGCTCCCAAGTTCACTGTGGCTAGAGGAGGGAAGCGGGGGAAAGGGAAATGTGTGTGGGTTGGGGCAGCAGGGGAGTCGTGAGAGAACGATATAAAATGTGTTCCATTGCAGCCTTTGTCCTTGTTAGCAAAGGAAGAACAAACAAAGCCATTTAGAAAAGTCACATAATTCAAAGCTAGCAAAATAAACATTAGGGAAGTATTCATGTCTCATTAGGTACAAATAAAAAATAATTGAGTTAAAATAATAGAAAAGTGATTTGCCCTTATTGAGCCCCAACCATTGCATATATAAATGCTGAGAGAATTGTTGGAAATTTATATGGAATGATTTCACTTAATTTACAATTAATAAGGAGGTACAAACTATATGACTACAAAAATATATTACTACAAAAGTTGACTACCAAATATATGTTATAAATTTTAAAATCCTTAACATAACTAATCAAGAAATGTCCTTTAAAGTTGCGACAAGGACATGAATTTAATATAATAGTTAAGGGTATACATCTAAGTGTCTTAAGGTTTACTATTTATTAGAATATGTGCTCCGACTGGCCGAGTGTGGCTTAGCAGTTGAGCGTCGACCTAGGATCCAGGCGATCGGGGTTCGATTCCCGGTCAGGGCACATGCCCGGGTTGCGGGCTGCAGCTGATCAATGCCTCTCTCATCATTGATGTTTCTATCTCTCTCTCTCCCTCTCCTTTCCTCTCTCTGAAATCAATAAAGATATATCTTAAAAAAAAAAAATAGAATATGTGCTCCATGAGCTATTTTTTTTTCACTGCTAATCAGTGTTCCCGGTACTCAAAAAATACTTGGATAATCAATGGATGAATAAACAAAATAACTATGTCATGGTAAATGGTTTTAAAGCATCTAAATAAGGCTTGTAAATGTTTCTCTAAGTTTTCTTACCCATTTTAAGATAAATAATACAATTTTTTAAAATTATAAGAGAAAGAGGAGTAGAGAGATAAGAAAAATAATCTAAACTCAGGCAATAATAGCACTTTGGGATATATTTCCTGCCAAGATTTTTCCTATACACAATTAAATTGATGTAATATTCCATACAATGAACATATGTATACATATATATATGCATTTCTTTTTATACCGCATTTTCACCTATCAGATTCCATCCTCTGCCATTTTTTCACTGTCTTAATATGCAGTTTTCAAATATCTTCATAATATTCATAATTTCAAGACCTACCATAGTTTAACAATCTCCTATTTGGAAACATTTAGGCTGTTTTAAAATTTTCACTATCCTAATAATGCTATGTGAAGGTTTTTTGCACATATAATTTAGAAACACATTTAAATCCTTTAGTATCTGAAGTCTTAGGGTCTATTAATTTCAAAAGCATGAATTATTAAAATTTACCAGATTCTCTTAATATCTTATTTATTCTAATTCTACCGAAACTGCAAAAGATGTTTAAGATGGAAAAGACTTATATTCTGATTGTGTCTTAACATGACATATCAGATAATGTCTTTTTCATCTAAAAATTCTATACTAACTTCTGTTTTATTGCTGATATAGCAGAAAAATCAATTATATCAATATGGTCTATTTCTTTTTCTAGAGCAGAATGAAATCTATAGAATAATTGTGATGGCAACAGTAGCTGCTCCAAGTTGAAGACATTTTTAACGAAACTATGACTAATGAAATTAATTTTGTCATTAGCTAATGCAAAAATATCAACACTCACCAGGTCACCAAACACAATTTTCTACAGATCTTTTATCAAGAAAGGACCTTGAGAAGGACTGAAGAGCTCCAACTCTTCCCTTTCCCATAAAAAGAGGCAAGTAATGATAAGTATGGCATTTTCCCCACTAGATGGATTCGGGAAAATATTGAAATACATAGTATCTTGGCTGATAAGAAGCAATTTGCTGTGTTGTAAACCTAGCCAAGTCCAAATGGTAGAGAGGTGAAATGCAGCTGGCAGTGTACTTGAAATTATTACTGTCATCTCGATGACAGAATATAAAGCAGTACAGCCAACAGCAGAGAGAGCAGAGTTATCACTTTGAGTGAACATGTTAGTCCCTTTCAGGTCTTCTGAATGGTCCAGAATAGAAAGCCTTAAAACCACAGGTATCAAAATATAATAGCTTTACTCACGAGAGGAAACTGCATCCTGCAGCTCAAACGTGGATGAGGCTGCCCCCATATGTTTTTAATCTAGTATAATCATTAACAGATTAACAGTTCAATTTTCACAGTCTGCTAAGCAGTGAAAAACAATGAGAACTCCAATGTTAAATGGCAGAAGCCCAGGTGAAGTAATCTAATATTGACTTTAAAAAGCCATTTGTCAATGAGTTATGAAAATCAACTACTGTTTTGTAAAGAAACATTAAAACACAGAAACAAAAATCATGTTTTTACTCCATAGTCACAAAATGTCCTGTGTCGTTTGCGCCAGCAGACTAGCATGAGACCTGCAGCTGAACTGCATCCCCTCTGTTCAAAAGCATTCCTTCCTGCAGTGCCCTCTCTTCTCCTTTATTTTATTAGGGGAAAGGCAAGAGCAGGGGATGGTACATGATAAATATCTTAATTCCATGATTTTCCTTCTTTTTTCCAGTTGTCTTTCACTCCAATGATATGTCTGTTAATTTCAGGGTAATATTTCTGGCACAGTGATACCCTTTTAGAAACATGAATGTTTCAAGTTAGATTCAATATAAAAATTTCCTACAGTTAAAGGGCTTAGAGGTCTGAGTAAGATGTGGATTGAGACGGAGCCGAGGGGGGTGGGGGAGAAAGGAAGAAAAGGGAGAGGGAGATGCTCACTTTTTTAGTATAATTTCCTCAATATGTAGCTTGAAAACAAACGGCCCTTTTCAGCCCTTCTTTCTTTTTTAATCCTCGCCCAGGGACATGATTAGA